ACAATATTACAATACTTAATGTAGTATTTGATTTATAATTAAATATTTAAATATATATTTCTATTAATAATTTCCTATTTTAGTGTAACATTTTATCATTTAATACTACTGTAATATTTTTATATATGTGCTAGTTATTTATAAAAGTTCTATGAATTTGAGCTAATTACGACAAATATAAGGACCATAGTATAAAATACAAATAGTTTTAAAGTTAGGTTTGAAGTTTTTCTTTTGGAGAATAACATTTACAAATTTTATATATAGAGTTTTACAAACTCTAAAATAGAGTGTATTTTTGGAGATGCTCTTAGAGGTCAAAAAATCGAATCCTATGGTGTCGACAAGTGTTCTATCGGCACAAAACGAATCACCTCATTTATTTTGAAAGCTGATGGGCTTATATCGTTAAGCATATACTTGTTTTGGTCATTTTGTGGGCTTCATGTTTTCCTCAAGCCTTCGATCCCGATAGCGAGTTAGGCTTATCGTCTTCATCGTCTCCAAACCAAACTTTAGGGCTTGGAATCCTCTTCGATTTCCAATAATGATGATTTTCATATGCGCTCACTCACACCAACAATGGAAATTCTCCATGTGTCTCTTCAATCAGCTAAACACTCTTTCCGAAAATCCGATACGGGATGCGTTGATTCATCGTCATTAACGACCGTCGACCCAATCCAAGCATGTTTCCTTATTTAATGCACATTCCCTCGATACAAAGCGGTGAATCTACAACTATAAAAATGTTAGCGTTCATCATGTGAACATCATTCTAACAATCCTAACAGTCCTATGAGATAAGAGCATTAAAAAGAATCCAGTTTTTCTTTTTGATTCTTCTTGCCTGGTCTCTTTTTGGTTATGCGAGTGTTAGTTGTGTTATTGATCATATCATGTAGTTTTACAATAGCATAGTCTTTTCTACGGCTTCAAGTATTTGAAATTATTGATATCAATCTCTCTTCAGGATTTCAGACCTAACGATTATTATTAAGGAGTGCTTCTATCTGTCAAGATCAAACCCAAAAATGACGAGTAAGACGGACCGTTGTAAGGAAACTCAGAGTAATGCTTTGATTGTGTCCTTTCGTCTTTCATTCTTATCTGGTGAGATGTAACGAGATGTCTTCATTCATTCCCTTTAAGAAAATTCTTAACTCAATCGGCGCAAATCAAGCATGATGTATCATTCAATGATCCCCATCTCTTCAAGGCGGTGTTTTCTCAATCTATGAAACCACGCTAATTCCCGAGAACACCGGTGGTTTCACGTCGTTGCTAGAGCTTCTACCTATACAAGCAGTGGAGCTTCTCCATTTCACTGATTCGTTGAGGTCTTCTCCAGTGGCGGCCATAACCAGAATTGGGTTGGATATCTCTCCACCGACGCTTCAGTCTTACTGAACATTAAATTTTCCTTATTACTCACCACTCTAAGAGCACAGCTCGCTCCTTGATGATTGAAGCATAACAGAAACGTCTATGGCGAGAGTACTACTATGACCTCAGTACCTTCTACCTCCAAATCTAATCTGGATAGAGTCAAACCAAGCTTGGTGAGACAGATTCATCGCAGCGTTTGGTTTCTGATTAGAAACGCGTAACCTAGTCAGAACAATCGATATGGCAAGTGAAAAGAACTCGACAAGGAGATGAGACACAAGTTATGTTTTGTTAACATTTGATAAAGCCATTGACTGATGAATCCTTGACACATATCCGTGACAATATTTATAGGTTAAAAGCTCAACGAAAAAGAATAATTGTGAAATGGATCATGTGGAAGAGGTGGTGAAGATGACGTCATCTCCGACATCGGAAGCTGTGGAGGATGAATGGTTGGTTTCGAGTTCAACATTTGAGAAAGTTGCTGTAACTTAGAAGTATATCAATGACCATTACCATAAACGCATGAGACACATCCAATAGATTAAAGAAAAGTCATTTATGCATAACATTACAATAGAAATAGTTACACTGATTAAATTTTTATTATTATTAGGTAGATAAATTTATATTTCTAACAAGAACATTTTTTTTTAAAGTAAATAATCATTTTTACTGCAGATTAAATATTTTTAAATGTATATATAAATTTAAAATATTTTTTACTTATTTTTCATATAATTACCCGCTCGTATGGCGGGTTTACCCTAGTTTATAATATTATAATGTTTTGCTATAAAACTTGCACAGATCTAATTGTCTAAACATGAAACTAAATTGAATTGAAATTGTTTTAACATAATATACTAGATGATTAACAAAAGATAGAATAGTAAATCTTATATTTTTGGTATCTATATCAACCATATAAACAACATAACCGGGATTCAAAATGTGAGTGTTAGTTGTGTTATTAAAAGTTTAGCTTTCAACATGTGAACATCATTCTAACAATCCTAACAATCCTATGAGATAAGAGCATTAAAACGAATCCAATTTTTGTTTTGGATTCTTCTTGCATGGTCTCTTTTTTGGTTATGTGAGTGTTAGTTGTGTTATTGATCATGTTCTTTTACAATAGCATAGTCTTTCCCACGACTTCAAGTCTATTAAGTTATTGATATCAATATCTCTTCTGGATTTCAGACCTAATGATGACGAGTGAGACGAATCGTTGTAAAGAAACTTAGAGTAATGTTTTGATTGCATCCTTTCGTCTTTCGTTATTATCTGGTGAGACGTAACGAGATGTCTTCATTCATTCCCTTTAAGAAAATTCTTAACTTTATCGACGCAAATCAAGCAAGATGTATTATTCGATGATCCCCATCTCTTCTAGGGTTTTTTTTTAAATCTATGAAACCACGCTAACTCACGAGAACGCCGGTGGTTTCACGTCCTTGCTAGAGCTTCTGCCTATACAAGCAGTGGAGATTCTCCATTTCACTGATTCATTGAGGTCTTCTCCAGTGGTGGCCGTAACCGGAATCGGTTTAGATATCTCTCCACCGCTGCTTCATTCTTACTCGACATTAACTTTTATTTCTAACTCACCCCTATTGAAGCACAGCTCGCTCCTTGATGATTGCAGCATAACAGAAACGTATACGGCAAGAGTACTACTACGACCTCGGTACCTTTTACCTCCAACTCTAATCTTGATAGAGTCAAAACAAGCTTGGTGAGACAAATTTATCGCAGCGTTTGGTTCAGTGGCGAACCTAGGTAGAGGATTGTGGATGCACTTGCCCCCATAATAATTTTAAAATTTATTCTATTTCTTAACAAATTTGATGTCTACACCTATAATTATATGTAAGGTTACACCTATTCTAGCATTTGTGCACCCACTGAAAATAATCTCTGGATTTTCCCCTACTTTGGTTTCTGATCAGAAACGCGTGTCCTATTCAGAACAATCGATCTGGCAAGAGAAAATAACTCGACAAGGAGGTGAGACATAAGTTATGTTTTGTTAACATTTGATAAAGAAATTGACTGATCAATCTTTGACACATATCCATGACAATATTTATAAATTAAAAGTTCAACGAAGAAGAATAATTGTGAAACGGATCATGAGGAAAAGGTGGTGATGAAGTTGATGTCATCTCTGATGTCGGAAGCTGTGGAGGATAAATGGTTGGTTTCGCGTTCAACATTTGAGAAATTTGCTTCAACTAAGAAATATATCAATGACCATTACCATAAACGTAGGAGACACTAATAAAGAAAGGTCATTTAATGTAAATAGTTACATTGATTATCTTTTTTATTATTAGTTAGATAAATTTATTCTAACAAAAATAATTTGAAAATAATAGTCATTTTTATTTAGGATTAAATATTTTTAAATGTATATATAAATTTAAAATTTTTTTTTTTTAATTATTTTCATATGCTTATCCGCGTCTAAAGTGGATTTACCCTAGTTTATAATATTGTAATGTTTCACTATAAAAGTTATACAGATCTAATTGTCAAAACATGAAACTGAATTAAAAATTGTTTTGACATAATATACTAGATGATTAACCAAAATAGAATAGTAAATCTTATATTTTTGGTATCTATATCAACCATATAAACAACATAACCGGGGATTCAGTCTTCTAAGTAAATAGTGTTTTTTAAAAATAAATGGTTTTTTTTTTTGACATCAAACGGCTGATCTATTACTCAAACAACTTGAGGTGGTCTGGATAACCAGACCGGAATAGAACAACCAACGTACATAAGCGTACGATAAAAAGACCTAGCTACCTTAGCTAGAGAATCAGAAGCGCCGTTCTGAGTTCTAGGAACATAAAAAATCTTGAATTCAGAAAAAGCACATCTTCAGTGTCATCAATTTTTCCAGTTCCGTTGAAAAACTAGGCCATGCATTAGGATTTCTGAGCATCTCGATTATCTCCTTGCAATCAGTTCCAAAGCTCTGACATGATGAATGTTGAAGCATATTCTCCATTGCCCATCGCAGTGCTTCCAACTCTGAATGCAGCGCCGATTCCACTCGAGCAAAGTTATGCAGCCCCATTAACTGTCTATTCCCGAAACTATCGTTCAAAACCCATCCACATCCATTGAAAGTATCCGTAGAAGTCCAAGATCCAAAAATAAATGGTGTTTACCCACCATATACTTTTATTTCTAATAGATAGGACCAAAATTTTAGATGTTTCACCTTCTGGCCGGAGGAGAAATTTTTTGATTAGTTACACGAACTACGATTTTTATTCTTGCAATTCCTCTTACATGAACATGCATCCAACAAACAAATGTTCCCATACGTATAAATGGTACTGAAATTCTCACTATGCTTATATTTAAGATTTGTGTTAAGAAAATCTGTTCTATATAGACTTTAAAAACAAAATAGTATTTGGCTGTATTCATTGTGCAATGCACATTCACGCACAACGAAAGAGATATTTGTCCATTTATGAAACAGAGTGTCACATTACATGTACAGATTATTACATAATTCTATTTGTTGAATTTAGTTTTTTTACTATAATCATTTCACAAATTAACCCGATATAATCATGTCACATAACTGTTCTTTGCCAACAAAAAAAAAATCAAGAACTTCAAACAATCAATAAGAAAATAATATTACGAAACAATGATATAATTACAAACCCACCAAAACGAAAAGAAAAGAAAAAACATTGATTCCCAAAAAAAGCCAGAAAAAATATTCTGCAAAAAGTAATTAAAAAATAATATATATTATGCACAAAAAATCATCACTGCCAATATATATATAAAAAATACTGCTTCCAAAAAGCTTAGAAACCAAACCAAAAATAGAAGAGAAATTGCATACAACTCTCACGCTCCCAGTAAATACAGCACCTGCAACAAATATACATTGCTGAACATATCATCAAAAGACTAGTTTTGATCTTCGGACTTCCCGAGATTGTTTGGCAACCTATCAGCATTTAAGATAGATATAACTATAAAAGCAATCTCACCACATGTTTATGTTATATCACTCATCTCAGGGCCTTATGAATGTAATACTTTGTTGTGTTATCAAAGTAGCATTTAACCAGAAACAGGCATATTAAGGGTCAAAGGGTAAGCAGAAGTGAGATATTTACCAGCTGATATGTTCGGTTCGCATATATGATGACTGTTTCCTCATTGAGGCCCTGAAAACACATTCTCTAAAATATCATGCAGTTTTGGTGACCTTCTCCGGAACAGAGGTTCTAGCCGGAAAGATGGGACACCGATCTGCCATCTTTTTGCATCATACATCTCGTTCCATGCCTGTACTATCTCATCGATCTTGAACCCCATACCTGCACTTGTTGTTTGTTTGTGATATATTCACTGTGACATATTTAGATATCTCTACTGTTTAGTATTCATATATAAACTTAATTACCTTCAAGTGCATTCTCGTTTGAGCAATGGTTCTTTACCATGACAGCTATATCGGTTGCAGAAGCTCCAGCTAATTCAAATTTCTCCACTGCAACCTCCAAGCATTCATCCCAAGTCGGTAAACCAAGCTTATACTCCACAATAGACCGTTCATACAGTAAAGAACCCCACAAAAGATTAATCTGGGAAGTCATATTAGCTGTTTGCTCTGCGTTTTCTTCATCAGATGCTTCACTAAACACCCCATCCAAGCCCAGCTTCTGCAGCAGTGTTTTATGTTTCTCAGAATTGGCGATTCCATTTAGACGACGTTCTTCCATCTCTTCCAAAATCTGCATACCCTTCTCCATACTCTCCTCGGCTTTGTTATAGAGCTTTAATACTTCCTGAGAAGCCTCGCTTTCTATATCTATCTTGTTTCTAAGCGCATGATACCAACAAAGCTTAGCCTGCTCAAACTGTTGTTGCCCGAGTGCAAGAAGAGCTTCATAGAAATCAGATTTAACTTTAACCGCCTCTTCATATTTCTCTGCAGCTTTGTTGTACTCGTTCGTCGCCCATTCAAATCCAGCCTCGACCTTCTCTAGTATAGTTTCTCTCGACCCGTCCTCTGGAAAATAGATCTGCCTTCTTGCCTTCGACATATGAACGTTCCCCCAGTTAAACATAGCAAGTGCAGCCATTTCTTGGAACTTATCAGCAGCGATGTCAAAAAGTTCTTGCGCATCTTCTCCCGTTACAATATCTTCCATGGCTTCTGTATACAGCTTCATCCCAAGATTGTGAATGTCCAAGTAAGAATCAGAATCAAACCCGACATGGTTCTTGAACAGCTGCGCAAACTGGAAAATCCAATGCTCAATGGCAGGAGATGGTTTCTCAGACTCCACACAATCTCCAACACTTCCATTATCAGCAACACTACTCGATCCCTTGGCAAGCTTATCGGTCGATTCTTCCTTGTCCACACCATCATAAGTTGGTTCTTGATTGGGTCTAACTTCAGTTACATACAATCTAAATGACCCAAGTTTCTCCCTAGTTGATGCAGCCATCCTTAGCTCCTCCGTCGTGGTAATAGTAACCAAATCACCTTCTTGGTCCCTATACTTGATCAAGAAACCTTTGAGAGAAGGAAACCTATCTCTGATTATATCTCTCACAAGTCTCACACTAGAATCCAACGGCAACTGCGCCCACCTTATATCATCTCCATGAACCAACTTCACCGTCCTCGTCACCGTGGCATCAATCTCAGAAGCAATGACCTCTTTGTCCATAACAGGACTCACTTTCTTCTCCTCAACCACAACCTTATCCTCCCCTTTCTTCCCGCTATCTGCTTCCTCTCCGTCTTCAACCTCCTCCGCTGCTTTATTCTCAACAACCCCGCCTTCGTTGCTCTTCTTCTCCTCACTCTTCTTGTTATTCTTCTTCTTCAACTTCCTCAACCTCTCCTTAACAATCTTGCGTAACCGCGCAGCGCCAACAGGCTGCACATCAACAAAACTCTTCTCCATCTCAACCACATCAACCCCTTTGTCCACCAAAACCTTCCTCACCCTCTCGCATATCTCCTTAGCGGAAACATTCTCCGCCTCCATGTTCAAAACAATCCTCGAATCCCTAAACGCGAACTCCATCTTGTTCAACGCCTCGTAACACCGAGCACGTTTCAACAAGGCTTTGCTGTACCTAGGAGAAGCCTCGAGAGCGAGATTGCATTCGTTGATCGCGTTCGGATACTCTCCTATCCCCATTTGCATGTAACAAGAAGCCATGCTCGTTCGCAGGTAAGCCACGTCTACGTGATCTCTAGGGAGAAGCTTGACGGCTTTGTCGTACCTTAGCATCGCGCCTTCGTTGTCGCGTTTCTGGAAGAGCTTGTTTCCTTCTTCCTTGAGCTCTAGCGCTCGGTTTATGAAGATCGCCATGTCTTCGTCGAAGGTTGCAGTCGCCTTGGAGGCTGAACGATCGAAGCTTTTTACGGACTTGTTGCCGCCGACGGAAGAATCCGTCGGAGGATCGACATTTTTCTTCTTTCCCGTCGGTTTACCCATCGAAATCGGATTTGTGTACAATGCGGATCGGTGAGAATGAAGAGGGATAAGAGAGAGAGGAAGGAATGAATATGCCTTTGGATGGATGGAGTGTTCTGTAATCCACGAATAAAATAGAAGGAGGAGGAGAAACAAGTGTGTGTATAACAAACTATTTACCGACTATTTTATTAAGAAAAGTCAACTTATATATGTATTTAAGGACAGAACCATGGCGACAATTTCATTGGTGTGACATGAAATGGACACATACAGAAATTTATATTATAAGTTTTTTTTTAATAATAACCAGAGTTTTGACCTATATTTTTTTATTTTTAAAATATATTTTTAAAATTAACATCAACATTTTAAATATATATTTTAATGTTTGTGTTATATTGTGTAACTTTGTAATCTTATTGTTTAGGTTTTTATTCAACATTATTAATATATAATATTTTTTTATCTTTTTACTTTGTTATCCAACACTGTTAATATAGAATGATTTTGTTTTGCTTTTTATACATGCTAATATATTTCCGAATAAGTAAACAAAATTCATAATTTGAAATAATCAAATAAAAATCTCCTTTAGAATATATTTTTTAATAAATTTCTATAAGTTGCATTCCAAAAAAAAAAAATTAAATTTTGTATAGCTGTTATAAAATCATATTTACTTAGGCTAATTGATATTTTTTTGTGTATAATTTAACATATATCATTTTAGTATATTTTGCTTAACTAATTTAGCCATATTGTTTTGATAAATTTTATATATAGTAGCATCTATGATATTATTTAGTAAATTTTATCAATTTAAAATATTTTGGATGTTATGGTATTAAGTTCTCTGATTTGTTTTATTAAATTAATATTTCAAAATATTGTACTACGTTTGTTTTTAGAATAGTATTTGTTTTTGCGTTTTCCATTTTAAAAAATACACTAAAAATACATTTTTATTTTTGGTTTATAATACAATTTTAATTAATATAATAGTATTATATTCTTAATTATGAAATTAATTATTGTGTTATTTTATAAAAACAATATTTGAACTTTTAGTAAGATTTTGTTAGATTTTTCCTCAACTAATTTTGTTATAACTTAAAATAAAACTAAAATCAGTCATGTTTGGTATATATTTGATTAATTGATATAAATAATCAAATATGTCACATTAAGCAATTAATCAAGTGGCTCTACTTAAAATTTTTTATAGTATTATAGTAGATAAAAAAATTGATTTTATTCTAATATAGTAGATTATTCCAATAGGTAACTCGGATATCCTAGAAAATTATTAATCTGACATTTATCCAAAAAGTAATAACTACAACGATCGGGTATGGACATGTCAAAAACGTGGATTCGGCCGCACAATATTTATTGAAAACAAGCGATGATCTCTTCATCCTTATATGAAACCACAAATGTTGAAGCGTAGTGGCCATGTTCCTATGAAAAGTGCAATGTCTGTTTCAGCTTGTAATGAAGTTGGTTAGAAAGGCAGACTTGCAAGCTTTTATTGGTAACGTTTTTTTCCTGTGGTAAAGTTTTCGTAGCATATGAGGCTTCTAAACTTACTACTACTAGTGTTGATATTGGAGATATTTATTACTCTCTCCGTTTCACTTTAGTTGTCATTCTAGGTTTTTGCATACAGATTAAAGAAACATTTAATTTTACATATTTTCAAAATAAAAACACAATTACCTATACACCTAACCACTTTTCAACCAATAGAAAAATAGAATATCATATAAGTTAATAAATTCTGCCTCGAAACTTTTAAAACGACACTTATTTTAAAACGAAATTTTTTCCCTAGAATGACAAGTAATTCAAAACAGAGGGAGTGTATTATCATAAGTGATTAAAATTGGGAATTTAAGTCATAATATGTGTGGAAGCACCGTAGCCTAGTGGTGAAGGTTTAAAGGCTTCTACACCAGGTCTGGGGTTCGAATCCCAGGCTACGCAGTTCTTACACCAGGAGGGTTTCAATTCCCGAAGAAGGTGAATGGCGAATTATGCAGATTGGAGAACGCTTACAGGAGATCTTCAGCATGGCGCAAGGCGTACCATCAGGAATGGATCTCATAGGACGGCTCAGGATGATGCAGTCAGACGTGAATCCGCATAAGGCAGGTAGAATTGTCAGCTGTAATATCGTCTATGTAATATTTCTCATAGTTTGTAATGCATGATTATCCAGTGTTAAAAAAAAAAAAAAAAGTCATAATATGTGGGCTCCGCCCCGTTTCATCCCTCGCTGGATGAGGTTACCAAAACTAACCCAAAACATCATTTGAAATACAATTGTAGATTTCTCATTCATGCAAATACAAAACTATTCTAAAGGTGTAGAAAAATTACTATTTACTTATTATGACTAAACAAAAAACTATAAAGTTATTTTACGTTTCTATCATTCGGAACTCTATATTAATAGAGAGAAGTTTATAAGGTGTAGATTTATCATGAAACCATCTTTATAGACTTATGTTGAAGTCTATATCATAATTTAATCTTATAATTTTATTTTAAAAATATATAAAAATAATTTGTGTGAATTTTCTTTTAAATCATCAATATAAAAACCAATATAAGGTATATAAATTAAAATGACTGAAAAATTTAAAAGAATATATATTTATTAAGTAACTATGTGTTTGACAATATTTGATGCAACCATGGTTGAGCCAGATGACTATGCGACAAAGGATAAACCGGGATGGCTGAATGGAAAGATTGAAGATGAACCAGAGGCTGGAATGGAGCATAATGAGCTTATTTTGGCTATTAAAAAACATGAGAAACAAGGTGGAAAGATTTGGATCAGACTCATGGACGAGCTAGGACTTTCTTAATCCAAAAGGAGNATTAAGTATTTCTCATTTTCTAGAATTTTAGGACTTTTCATTTTCTTCTTCTCTACTTAAACTCTTTGTTTCTATTCTGAATAATCATTCACTCTTTTTATCAAAATTCTCTCTAAACTTGTGAATCCTTTGTTCATCTTATGAACATCGATTGCTAAGGAGTTCATTCTCCATAAGCTTTGTCTTTGATCGGAAAACAAAGTTCATTCTCTTGATCTTAGACACATCTACACAAGATCTGATCAATCCATAGATCATTTCTGAAGATCATCCCATCAAACCATCTATCACCATCAAAATCCACCCTTATCACTCTCAAACCATCTGATCATCCTTCAAAGTATCAGGGACAAAAGGATCTCTCCTCACAAGGGATTCATCAAGTGGTATCATAGAGCACTCTTGATACCACAAGGGATTCATCAAGTGGTATCATAGAGCACTCTTTCATAGAGCACTCTTGATGAATCCCTTGTGAGGAGAGATCCTTTTGTCCCTGATACTTTGAAGGATGATCAGATGGTTTGAGAGTGATAAGGGTGGATTTTGATGGTGATAGATGGTTTGATGGGATGATCTTCAGAAATGATCTATGGATTGATCAGATCTTGTGTAGATGTGTCTAAGATCAAGAGAATGAACTCTGTTTTTCGATCAAAGACAAAGCTTATGGAGAATGAACTCCTTAGCAATCGATGTTCATAAGATGAACAAAGGATTCACAAGTTTAGAGAGAATTTTGATAAAATGAGTGAATGATTATTCAGAATAGAAACAAAGAGTTTAAGTAGAGAAGAAGAAAATGAAAAGTCCTAAAATTCTAGAAAATGAGAAATACTTAATTAAAACTAAAGTTATCTTGAGGACCAAACAAAAATTATTTTGGCTGCTCCTTGACTTGATTTTCGTGGCTGGATCATCAGATAGAGAGAATGGACCCTCAACTTGTGTATTGATCTCCTTTTGGATTAAGAAAGTCCTAGCTCGTCCAATGAGTCTGATCCAAATCTTTCCACCTTGTTTCTCATGTTTCTTAATAGCCAAAATAAGCTCATTATGCTCCATTCCAGCCTCTGGTTCATCTTCAATCTTTCCATTCAGCCATCCCGGTTTATCCTATGTCGCATAGTCATCTGGCTCAACCATGGTTGCATCATCCCCTCTTCCTTTGAAAGGATTTGTCCTCAAATCTGTATCTCCAACATCAAAAGGAAACAAGTAAGAAGCAAGACAAATGGTCAAGAAAATAAGCATGAAAACAATATCAAAGTAAGGTTTCAGACAGAAACTTCCTTGGAGTTTTGAAGCCATTTTCCTC